GACCAAAATAACAAAATGGCTATCTAAGTGATGAGTTATCTTTCGATGAAGGAATGGGGAAGCATGTAATATGCAGAATGAAGCATCAAATTATAAATACATATTTCACATCACGAACTAATTCAAGGTGCGTTATCTTAATCTCGGTTTTATTCTGCAAGATAAATATCATTAAGCATACGTGTTACCGGGAGGGTGTTGTTTTAACCATTGTCTTGTTACAGTCAACCGAGATATTTCGTTCCGCTTAACTGATTGTCGAAACATGTACTGTCTCCTACTCTATCTACTGAACAAACGGTAGAATTCCTGCGTTCAGTGGAGTGGAACTGTGTAGAAGCTAGATCTGTACCGGTATTTGTCACGTGTTTCATTACCGTCAGGTATTTCTAGAAGATGTATCAGTAAAGCGAGAGAGAGAAATGGGGTTTAACGTCCACTCGACACAAACAAGGTCATTTCGGGACTAACATATGGTTCAATTTTATTTTTAATAATTCGCTTGAGTGTAGGGGTCTTTAGCAGTAGGAGGAAACCGGAGACCCAGAGAAACCCACGAGGTTGGACAGGCGACCTTACTCCTTGTCACGTACAACTGGGGATTCGAAACCACGCCAGTTAACTCAATGATGTATCAGTAAGACTAAACATTTTGGAAATTAAAATAAATGGGGTTTAATGTCATACTTTTCTGTACCAATTGGACAAATGAATACGCCATGTTGTTTTCTGTATGAAATTTGTATGAAATTATATCTGAGTTCTGTCCGTCAACTTTTGATATAAAAATAAAATAAAACCCAAGTACCAACAATCCAAACCATTAGACAAATCTCGAAGTCCTAAAAAAAACGGTATCGGCAAAATAGGGTAGTCAGCAAATGGACTGTTCCCGATCCCATTCGATTTTGTTCACAGACCATTCTATGTGAATCATTTATAATTTAAAGCGAAAGCTGGATTTCCTGGTAGATCAGGTAATTAATTTTGGAATTCAAATCAAATCCGATCGTCGAGTTCCTAAAATATCATGTACGTTTTATTAGAATTTCTATCAAAACTTTGATTTCTTGGTGGATGAAGTACATCATTTTAGAATTTATCTTAACACTCTGATTTCTTGGTGGATATAGTACACAATTTTAGATTTTTAAATCACTTTGAAACCTGTCAGATCAGACTGTATTTAGATAAATGAAATGGATATGGATTGCAAACAATAACCATTAAATGAGACACGATTTAACTACCTGTAGTTCGACATTAACCCAGCAATAACGATCGCTCAATGTCAATAGTGCTTTCATCTTTTCGCTGGCTGGGTTTGTTTGACCGACAATCTAGTTAAAATTTAATGCACATAATGAAAGGCTTTCGCTGATATTTAAGATGGTGGCTTTGTTCTGTGAGTCTATTATTTGGGTATCGGTGCTGGTTGGTGTGTCCCCGGTATTGTAATGTGATTATAGGACAAGGTGGCCCCCATGGTGACCCCCTGTCTCGTCACATTTTAGATATCAAATGTACAATGTGTTTGAAAATGAAATGAAATGAGGATTAAAGTATCAGGCTATAAGGCAAATCTTGCCTGGGCAGCGGCATTTCTACCTTCTCTTCATCGAGTTGCAACTGTCTTGGGTTCTTCTGCGTGCACGAAACGTCGAATTGTCGTCCCATCCGAATGACTAGACTGTTCAATTTCGGACTAACATGATACCTGGTCTTTACTAATATTTTTTCCACGCTTAAAGATAACATAATGTGTTAATGCCATTATCTATGGAACAACTAATTGTAGCGTATATACCTTACTCTGATCAGGACAGCTGTCTAGTCGTTCGGGTGTGCCGTGTATATATTGGTGTGCACGTAAAAGATCTCTTGACAGTTGGCATTCGATATAAGAGTAGGCGATAGTGCCGCTGCCCGGGCAAAAGTTCCCTCATAGCACACCACTGTATGGGGTAAATCCGCCTTCATTAGCCCAGTCGGAGCAGAACAGTATGTGAGACACAAAATCGGCCACATGATAACACTGGCTTTATTTATAGATAAAATATAACTTTAAAGCAAAAGGAATTGACTTTTTTTCACTCAAATTCAACAAGTCTACTACTCAATCTAATTCTTATCGTTGGGGATAGACCTCGGGGAATATGTCATACTTACAACTTCCATCATAGTCAGAACGGTATTGAGGTGCGAGCAATGAGAAATCAAAGAGGTCAAGTCAGTATGATCCATTGGGGCTAGGTAGCGGCGAGGGTAACTCATAAGGATATGTCCGAGAAATTACTACTCGGAACGTACAGTGCACAACCCACCATCGCAACCCGTTAGAGCACCCAACTCCTGTCATGGTTAGAACTGAATGTGGTATTGAGTTATGAAAAATCAAATTTATATGATTTATAAATAGATACGGCCACGCCCTCGCCACGTCTTCTCTTCTCTTATAGAATATCATTCAACCATACGGATAAATATATTCTCTCTCTCCCCCCCCCCCTCTCTCTCTCCCAATATAATACTACCACCCCCAGATAACTAATCAATTGCCAAATCAAAATTTAAAAAGATTCTCTTACACACAATGAAAATAATTCCCCCAAGTGTGATTTCAGATCGTAAGGTCTGTTATGTGCTTAATTCAATGGTCCGATCTCGGGATTTGGGTTGACAAAATGTACCTTTGCCAGTCCTATCTCGTTAGTTTATTGCATCGGTTCAAAGTAATGGTTGGGTTAGTTAGGCTTAATGTTAGATAATACCGTGTTTACTTCAACTGGTATTTTAGCATATATTACGTGCTTTACTTGTGCTTACGTCTTTAGCTATAATTCGACAAGAAATTAGTAAACAATTAATTCAGATTGACTGAGTTATCTACTAGTGCATGACGTCATGTATATATTAATAATAAACAACTAAAACACGATGTATGACGTAATAAATTGTGTTTAATTGTAGGGTGTATAGGATCCTATCCTATTCAAATATTGACCTCTAAATCTATATGCATGTTTTTGTTAAAATGTATTTTCAAACTGTAGTAGGATATATTGATGAGAAAGACCCTCACTTGCTCCATTTGGCTATTCATGGTGACAGGTGTCGTGTTCAAGGCATATAATACTCTTTATGGAACATCATATAAGATAAGATAAGATTTTTATTGATGCGTCATAAACAGATAAAAACAACACCGATAAACTTAACATTTAATAAATAAATAATCTCATTTATATAAAACTACACATTGGGATTGTCATACCTGGTCATGACGAATCAACGATGACAGCAAAAGCACACACTATGTGTTAAGCGTTTTTCCGTGGTGGTCCTGGGAAATGTCATGACAACATGACAAGCCACAGACACATTTATACACATATACCGAAAGACAATGACATGAAACCGGTATCTTTCAGAAGGGGTTATAATACAACAATAAGTTTTAAAAGTATACAAACTGGGAAGAACTGCTTTTAACTAAGTTTTCGAATAAAACATCTCTTATTGCTTTTTTATACTTTACTATTTGGTCAATACATTTGATATTATAAGGGGGGTTGGATGGCCGAATGGTTAGCACGTGCGTGCTGTATCATACGGTCTGTCATTGAGTCAACTGGCGGGGTTTCGATTCTCCGGTTGTACGTGACAAGGAGTAGGGTCGCCTGTCCAACCTCGTGGGTTTTCTCCGGGTTTCCCGTTTTCCTCCCACTGCTAAAGACCTCTACGCGCAAGAGATTTTTGAAATAAAATTGAACCATGTGTTAGTCCCGAAATGACCTAATTTGTGTCGAGTGGACGTTAAACCCCATCTCTCTCTCTCTCTCTCTCTCTCTCTCTCTCGCTCTCTCTTTTATATTATAAAGAAGACTGTTCCAAAGCTTCAGGCCAGAATAGTGAAAAGTTGTTTTTTTTTACCCTGAGATTCAACATTAGTTTCTTTTATTGACAACTGACTAGATCTAGTAATGTGTTAATGAACATCATTAGTGAATATTAATTTGTCTGTCAAGTACTTAGGGGTCAGACCACCTCTTATTTCAGTGTGACGTTCACATCTCTGATAATTTACGTTGTTCCTCTGTATTCGCTCTGTATAATATTCGAATATGCCGGAAATTAACGGAATTTATCGAACTATGACGAGTGCTGTGTATGCGTGCAAGCGAATAAAGGGAGATAAGTCATCTAGACAGGATTGACAATGGTATATCAACACGAACTTGAACAAAGTTTCTAGCTATCTCAGTATTTATCTTGTCTTATAAGTCGTCTCATATATCCGATAACCTTTCTATCAACTCACAAGATAAACTTTATGTTTACTTCTTACCCACGTGACAACGCCCTATAATAGTCCTTATAACTTGTATTTTGTTTACCATTCCGTGTGAATATATCACGCTATATTTGACATGTGTATATCATTTTTGTTTTCGCCTCGTGTAATAATGAATTAAAAGTGATCGCGTGCCTAAGCCCCAAATGCCCTTTTTTAATAGAGAGAAAAATGGGGTTTAACGTTCAACGTCAACTCGACATAAACTAGGTCATCTCAGGACTAACATATGCTTAAATTTTATTTTAATGCTTAAATTTTATTTTAATAATTCGCTTGCGCGTAGGGGTCTTTAGTGGGATCCGAGGAAATCCCACAATGTTGGACAGGCGACCCTTCTCATTGTCACATACAACCGGTGATTCGAAACCACGCTAGTTGACTCAATGACAGACCTTATGATACAGTGCGCACATGCTAACCATTCGGTCATCCAACCGCCCAAAAACACATACAACACAAGTGTGCAATGCTTTTGGATCTCAGAGGTATATAAACAAAAATGATTTTTTATATATTTATCTAAATTTTGTAAACTCCATTCTAGCCCACTCCTGTGTTTAATGTTTTATATTTTTCTGTTTTTCAGTTTTATAAACTCCATTCTAGCACATGGTTTATTATTTTTCATTTTTCTGTTTTTCAGTTTTGGATGCCGCACAGAATAAAGTAGATGGATATTGTTTTAACGTTGTATATGAATTACCAGAAAATACTGCCATTTCTGCATCTGAAAATTATATAGCTAGAATTCGTAAGTCATATCTATTTCTGACCATAACAGTGGGTAATGGGCTTGGGTTTTGTCCATAATAATAGGCGCTGGAACCGGTTGCTGCCCATATCAATATGTCCTGGACCATGTGCCTGTCCATTACAGTCTGTCCCGGCGTCGATTTCTGTCTGTAGCAATCTGTCCAGGACTCAGTTTATATCCAGAACAACAGGTCCTGGGCTTTGTCTCGGTCTCTTAAAATCTGTTTTACTGTAGCTTGTGAATATATGACGCGTATATCCAGGGGAGACAACTGTTATTTGATATCCAGTGCTCTGGGAACGCACAGCTATACGCGAAGATGGGATTAAAATTATTCATAACAAAACACAACACAAGGTATATATGGATATAACTACTTCTCTATTATTTAATAACGACGTTTCGTAACACATATAGGTACCGTTTTCAAGTTAATGATAAATATCCATCTAGAAAACGTGACCTGTATGTGTTACGAAACGTCGTTATTAAATAATAGAGAAGTAGTTATATCCATATATACCTTGTGTTGTGTTTTGTTATGAATAGTTAAACCGTGCTTCTAGATGACATTTAAAGAAGGGATTAACACTATTCTAGGAATTAAACCTTGGTGCGTCATTATCCTCAGAATACTCCAATAACCATATCTGTTGAACGGTGTGACACGTGGAACGTCTGTTAGTTTTACTCATTTACTCAACGTTTTGAGGGTTTTGTCCCTTTTAATGAATCGTTAACCCCTACCAGTGTTTACTGGGGTTTGTTATGTATCATTAATGTTTACAATAATAATTTACGGATTTATTTTTATTTTTCAGATTTAATGAGATCCTTCCTAGCCTTCTATATTATCGCCCTGGTATTTTTCATCCTAGCCTATATATTTGGTCTTGTGTTATGCTGCTGGAGAGTTTCCAGATGGGCGTATACCGCGGGTTTGTGTGCTTACATTGCTGGTAAGTCGAGCACTATTTATTATTTGACGACCACAACGGTGACTATAATTGTTTCCGGTTGTAGCGGTGGTTAATAGACTGAACATATTCGTCAGCATTGCCTCCTTTTAATCTCAGGAAGTGCAAAATATGTATCAGTTTTCCATCGCTTTGAATGATCTTGTTGCACAAAGAAATACTTGGCCTAACATCAAACGGTTATGATAATAGTTATTATATTGAAAACAAAGCGATAATGACCGGGGGACATCAGGCCAAAGCAATAATGAACACATTTACTTATAGACAGCCTAGAAGACTAAGATGAAAACTATCCACATGGGTATTAACGTCTCCGTCCTAGCTGTGTAGTGAATCATTATTAGAGTTACCTCCCCCTGTTTAGTCAACCCAATATTTATCATACTCTTTTACGAGTAGTGGCGTGTCTATTCTATATCATTAGCAGAACTCCCCTAAAAGCTGCGTTAACAATATTATTTAATTAAAGCTCTCAAATGTGGATCTAAGGTCAATATCTAATCCATTTTACGTTCTATCACACCCTGTACATGGGTGGTTAGGCATACTCTCCCCTTCCTGGTATCATGGGGGTTTTGTTGACTATTCGGTATCGCCACACGTTGGTTGACAAATGAACTAACTTTATTGTGTGTAAACTAAGTGCGAGGACTTGCCGTGATGTCACTCTAGAGAATAACCTATATTAATCATACATTATGCAAGAGCTAAATCTGCCTATTGCCGGTCCCTTATTCACGAAAACTTAAACTAAGATACAATCGAAATTTTAAGAAATACTGCAATTCGATTGGCTGACCAATATGCAAATTGGATATATGCAAATTGATTTTACTGGTCAGCCAATCGAATTGCAGTATTTCTTAAAATTTCGATTGTATCTTAGTTTAAGTTTTCGTGAATAAGAGCCCAGGTCTTTCTTTAGGCCTGAAATGTTATATAAACTATTAATTAGACATTTATTATTAAAAAAAACAAGAGGATAATCGACGCCCGATGGCATCGGATACTCGAGATTCTAACTAGAGCAAAACGGTTCGCCATTTAAAAATTTAATTTAAAAATGGAAAAGCGAGCCTAAGTCCCGATTATACCAGTGCCCTGGTTACCACTGTGCACGCATCTTGTCAAAACTACAAACAATGATAACTTGGCTGAGAATAAAGTAATTTGAATGAAATTTTCAATATTTTCTTTTTTCATCATCTATTGTTGAATTATTATAGCAAGAATGTCCAACTCTATATTAAACTCTTAACTAACGTATCTTTAATTAACAATATTTTTATTTTAGCATTCAGTACTGCTGCAGCCATCGCCTTCTTCCATGGTGCTGAATATCTCGAGAGAAATAAAATTGAAGGACGAGATGAATTTTACCAGTCTTGGTCTAGTGTAAGTATTTAAGTTGAAGTGGGTCATCAACCACGTTATCCATGCTTGTCATGAGTTGGGACTCCTGGTTTTGTACTTAAGTATTTAAGTTGAAGTAGACATTGGGATTGGGTGGCCAAGTGGGCCGTAGATCATTAATTATGTCATCTATGCGTGCCATGAGTTTGATTCCTGGTTTTGCACTTAACATTACGATTGGGTGGCCAAGTGTGCTGTCGATCATTAATCATGTTATCCGTGCTTGTCATGGGTTGGATTCCTGGTTTTGTACTGGTTTTTCTCCAACTACTCTCCTTTCCTCCTACTATGCTGCTCCTACTGGGCTAATGAAGACGGGCACACGCCATACAGTGTGCTATGGGGGAAATGTTGCCAGGACAGCGACGCTACGGTCTATTCTTATATCGAATTCCATTTGTCAAGGGATCTTTTACGTGCACGATAATATATACACGAGACCTCGGGTTTTCGTACTATCTGAACGACTATTGCCGGAAACAAAATATGTTCTTCGCTTTCTGGATTAAACCTAACCCAACTTCCCGGTATAGGAGCAGAACAGTAGGACGTTAAACCCCATTTCATTTCATTTCATTTGTATATGTCAAGGAGTAGGGTCACCTGTCCATCCTCATATATTTTCTCAAGATCCTCCATTTTCTTCCCACTACTGACGACCCCTACGCGCAATCGAATTATTGAAATGAAATTGTACCATATGAAATGTTAGTCCCGAAATTACCTAGTTTGTTTTGGGTGGACGTTACGTCACATTTCTCTATCCCTCTCTAATTTTATTACATTCCAGATAATATATCTTGCTGACATATTTTAGCAATATATTTGAAATATATGTTTGTTCTATTACAGACATTGAAAGATGCTACCAAGAGATCTTATGGATGGTCGTATGCTCTAGGATGGGTTGGTATGATCCTTGCCGCTTTTACCGCCACCTTCTATTCCCTAGCCGGATGTTACATCACAAGTGACCGTTATGAAGACTCTCGGGAAATCATGGAGAAACGCAGTCACTATGGTCGGGATTATCCCATGCCAATGCACGAGCCAGTATATGCTGTCGAAGATCCCTACTACAATCAAAAGGGTTATTATGGTTATCCACGTGGTGGCGGTTATGTTGGACCCTATGTTTATGAACGACCCGTCCCTGCTGTAGCTTACCCTAGCGGCCATGACTGGCAATTTCGAGAAGTCTAATTCAGGGCCGCTGTTATTTTAGACTTAATATTTGAAATCAAAATACATAGATTGGAGAATTTGTAATATATAATTATGGATGAGATCTAATTACACCGACTCATAACTAACACATCAAACGAAGCCAAATTGGTCATGGGATATATAATAACATACACAAATCAACATGGAAATAATTTAAAATTCATGTGTATACATTAGATTGTTGACAGTATGTTAATTTAAAAGATTCATCGTTATGAAGCAAGCAATATTTATATCTGTTTAATGTCCATATTTAGTTTCCCCGAAGCCTGTTGCCTCTCTTTAAAACTTTGATTCATCGTCACTCATATCGCTTTTTGTGCATACAATTAGTAATTGTCTACTTGTTTTTCTTGGGACAGTGCTCTGCAAAAAAAATCCATAGGCTCCGCCAATACCAGTACGATCAACATGACACTTGGTGTTCTAGTTATGTGGATAATTGCGCATCGATTAAGTGACGCAATGCTGGAAATGACGTCACAATTCCAATTCCATAATGGCTGTAATGATGCCTTGTTCAATTCCTTGATTCATATAATACTTCCTATACCTATTGGTTATTGTGAAATAAGAAAAACCTAATGCTGTAATATTTTGATGGCCTTATCAGTAGCACAAAGATCAGTATTTTTATATTAGTGTACCTAAATAAACAAAACAAGGAAGATGTGACGGGTTTCGGTAAATGGACAAATATGGCGTCTTAATAACGTCAACATATTGAAAGATAGGGTACATTTGTTTTAACTTTTAAATATCATGTAAATAATAATATAGTTCTATATATAGTTTTGTCGGAAGTTCGATTTCTCTCAAATCAAGTTTAATCGTTTCTTCCATCCAGTTGGTCAATAAGGTTTTACAAACCGCTATACAATAAATCAAAGGGACGCAACTGCAGTGTGTTTGTTATGCTAACAGTTTAAGCTCTGGTGTGTTTTTTTTTAAGACATAAATTCAAGAATACTGTTCATTCATTTCTCTGTAAAATGTCACGTATTGCAAACAAACGATTTTTTGTTAGCTAACCAAGTTTAGAATTAGAGTTTTATTACTTTATATTTGAGAGATTTTGAGGGTTGTAGCTGACCATGGGTTGGGACCCATAATAATAATGTTTTACTTCCTGCATTGTCTACCCGTGGTCGGTTTCAATAAATTAATGACCACACTGCTGGTTTAAACAATTTGTTATTTTATTTTATATCTCCACATTTTAGATTTAAATTTTACGCGATGTGTTGACATTAAAATTGCGTTAAACAATGTTTTATTTCGCATACAACACGAGCATACTGAAATAATGGATTTGAACATACGTCGTTACTCATATAAATTCATCTCCATCATATTGTTTTATGTACTATACTAGTTACTTTCTCTATATTAGTTATACCTATATTTATAAATATGTATATTACAAGATTTATTATATTTTATAACCCTTCCCCCTACCCCAACCCTCCACTTCCCCGCACAATCTTACAACATTCTCGTAAAGAATTGTATATACTATGCTAACCTAATAGATTTATTTTATCATTTATATCCTTTAGAATAGTTATTCATGTTAGTACAGTCGAATCATTCAAATTTTCAAATATTCGCAAATACACATGTATTTCGAAGTCTTCTATATAATATATTATCCATTCGTGTTTCAATTTCGTATTCTAATATGAACAATTCGTATTCTAATATGAACACTTCGTATTAATATGAACACTTCGTATTAATGTGAACACTTCGTATTCTAATATGAACAATTCGCATTCTAATATGAAAAATCGGCATTTTTTAAATGTTACTATGTTTCCACTTTATAGATTGTCTATTTTTATCATTTTGTTGTTAAATTTTAGAAATTATCCGCGAATATTTTATTTATACTGCTGGAGTTACTCCCCTTCTTGTAGATGTCTTCCCAAGACAGCAGTCAAAAGACATAATAATGTTCATTGGTGAATAATTGTAATTCAGTGTCACACGTGGAGTTACTTCCCTTATTTAGAAGTCAAAAAACATAATAACGTCCATAAAGTAATAATATAACATTGTAATTAATGGTCACACGTGTAGTTATACATATATATATATATATATATTTACTTTTACGTCTTATTATTTTAAATAAAGATGTTGTATAATTTATACCTCTTCTTATATTGTATGGGGAGTCTTAGTGGAGCTGGTCGCTAACCTGGAAAGGGAATGACATAAAATGGGGTTAATATGGCCCTGCTGTATACGCCATACAATGTGCTATGAGTGACATTTTGCCTAGACAGCGGCACATTGTCTACCATAATTTCGAATTCCATCCGCCAGGACTTCTTTTACGTGCACGCCAATGTGTACACGGGACCTCAGTTTTTCATTCCGTCCGAACGACTATATCTTTTTCCCTTTGCAGGCCCTCCGTCCTGCATCGCTGACAAAGGGGGGTCACGCGGGAAAATCCAGAGGACCCTTTTCAAGCCAATACCGAGAGCGAACCTTGGCACCTCCTGACCCAGAGTCTTATGCCCTGTGTCACGGCAACTCCCCCATTTTTTGTCTGAAAGGTGATGAGACTCCAAAGCACGATCTTTCATCTGATTCATCATTACCCTGTTATCCAAGGCAGTATCCATCTAAATGGCGCTATTTACAGTTAGCAAAGAGGGCCATCAATTTCAGGATTCCCAAATCCCTTTCAGACTATCCAATAACTATCCAACGCAATGGGCCAATTCCATGACAGTTAAATCGTGTTTCATGCCAAACAGAACGTGTTTCCTTATTCAGGATTCAAATTTTGAACAAAGAATAACGTGACAGACTGTGCTTCGTTATTCGTGATTATGAAACAAAGTTATTAAATGAAATGAAATGGTGTTTAGCGTCCTACTATTATGAACCGACTGGGCAAATAAAGACATGAAATGAAATGAAATGGGGTTTAACGTCCTACTGTTCTGCTCTTAACCTGGGCTAATGAAGACGGGCATACACCATACAGTGTGCTATGAAGGAAATTTTGCCCGGACAGCGGCAATACGGCCTACTCTTATATCGAATTCCAACTGCCAAGGGATCTTTTACGTGCACGCCAATGTGTACACGGGACCTCGGTTTTTCGTCCCATCCGAACGACTAGACAGCTGTCCTTGTCAGGCCCTCCATCCTGCATCACTAACAAGGGGAAACCACGCCGGAAAATCTGGATGAACTTTCTCGGCCAATGCAGGGATCGAACACCCGACCTCCAGGCTAGCGAACCAGCGTCTATGCAATGTGCTATACAGGGCAATTTTGCCCAGACAGCGGCACTACGACCTACTCTTATTTCCAATTCCAACTGCCTAAGGTTAATTTACGTACACAAAACCTCTGGTTTTCTTCCCATCCGAAGGACTATACGTTGTCCCATTCCAGAATCACCATCCTGTGTCATTGAAACAATCAATTTTTAGTTAAAGTATAATATAGCCATTTAGGGAATGTTAAAGCCCTTGTAAAAAGTTCAATCTCTAAAAATAATATAATTCCAAAAGATGGTTCATTTCCGTTCAGTATTTCCACGGATATGTTGAATTTAAATTCTATTAACATACATGACGACTAAGTCAAAAAGAAAACAATTATAATTATGGGCAAATTAAATAAGTCAAAATAAACTAAGGACAATATTTATTACAATAATAATTATGGCCAAGTTGAATTATTTATTACGGTTCACTTGGTGTTGCTGTGACATCTTTTTCGCAAACAGATTTATACAAACTGTAACAATAGGTCTCATCCATTTCTGATCTTGGCCGATTAAACCGGACACAGTCTTGTCTACCCGACAAAGGTGCTTCGCCGATCCAATCAACAGCTGTGCCATCGAGATGTATAAATTCATTTTGACCGTTTTTATCTATCGCTCCAAGAAAAAAACTTAAAGTGCTGTCTCCTTGAAAAGTAAAAGAACAAACCAAATTAGATAATTAACATTGTAATGCTGTTTTACATCTGTCATTTTGAGAACTTAGTTAATATTTATTTGTATAGTTCGGTTTTCATCGGTTGTTTCCGGCGTGGTTCCCCATTGTCAGTAGTGTTTGACGTAGGGCCTGGCAAGAGACTATGTATAGTCTTTCAGATGGATGACAAACCGAGGTCCTGTGTACAAGTTGGCGTGCACGTAAAAGAACCCATGACAGTTGAAATTCGAAATAAGAGTATAACGTAGCGCCGCTGTCCTGGCAAAATGTCCCTTTGTTCATGACGTATGCCCGTCTTCATTAGCCCATTAGGAGCCGTATGACGTTGAACCCCATTTCAGTTCTTTTTATTTCCTGTATAGATATGTGTGCAATGCGAAGGGGTGGGTGTCCCAGACATTGGTGTTTTCGCTTACTCTAAATGATCCTTAACATGCACGTGGAGTTTGGGGTCAAGTGGTTTAATGCGTGCGCCTTAGATAACTAGGTCGTGTGGCGTGGTGTCGACCCACATCTTCAACGTTACAAGGATAAAGGTGTCCTGCAGAAACTCATGGTGTTTTTTCCCACTGTTGGTGTTAGTTCCTCCAGCGCAGAAGAAATATTTGGACAGTAAACTTCCCGTTCCATGCTGACAATGGGGAAACTTACATATACCGTGACCCATTCTGTCTGGCGTTAAACTTTATTATACTTCTAATGTTGTCGCATTTAAAAACAACTAACACCCCACCCCTTTCATCTTTTATACGAATTACCCCCCCCCACACACACACACACACCTTCCTTGACATCCTTAGTACAACTAACAACATTTGGGAAATGGGAAGTAACACATTTAGGTGAAGATCACACTTGTAACACAAAGCACATGGCGTTGGCATCCAGAAACTCCCTAAAGGTATGCAAAGATTGACATTCCCCGACCCCCTATGTCCCAGTGTACAAGATTCCCTAACGAATGACCATTCGGATCGACTTCTAAATGAATTAAAATATATTCACCTTGTAATTGTAACGCTAGAAAATCACGTTTAGCTGTGGTATCCATTTTAAACAAAGTACCGTTATCCTCCTCGCACTGGAACTTGGCACCAAAAAAGTTCAGTTTGTTTTGGAAAACTTTGATACAGATGTTGGTGGCGGGATCAAATTCATAACCATCAAAAGTTGCACACAGTTCAGCTGAAATGAAATCAATATTAAATGGTTTTAAATACATTCAATGCTATAATTGGACCAACTTTACAGACAGTTTTCTTTAGACAACTTTACATTCTAAAATATATTAACCTAATTACACTACGGAGAAAATCACTTTCTACAACCAGATTGGTCGACATTTTACATAAACATAAAAACATAAATCAGTGTGAACTTGACCCGTGGGACATTTTTATAGTGGTAGATGATATGGTCGACTTGGTCCGTGGAACATGTTTATAGTGGTAGATAATATGGTCGAACTGACCCGTGGGACATGTCGATAGTGGTAGATAATATGGTCGACTTGGCCCGTGGGACGGTTATTTGAATGGGTGTCGACTTAACAAGTGAGACATGTTTATAGTGGAAGATAATATAACCTCTGAGGCATCTTTCTAGTGGACGGTAATATGAATGGGTGTCATCCACCTGAACGGCTGGATTACTTACCTGGACATAAAGTGCTACAATCTTGCGTTTCTGTATCCACACCCACACAATCGCTACATCCATGAGATGATGCCGGTTTTTCACAGGTACGAGTTCGCGTTCTTGTCCCATTACCGCATGTCACAGAACACTGACTAAACGGTGACCAGTTTCCCCAGTTACTTTTAACTGTAAAATAATACATATGTTCCTTTGTTATACAGGGAGGTTGAATTGCCAAATAGTTAGCATAAGATCTGTAATTGAGCCAACTGGTGTGGTTTCGAAACCCCGGTTGTACGTGACAAGGAGTAGGGTTGCCTGTCCATCCGCGTGGGTTTTCTCCGGGTCCACCGGTTTCCCCCCACAGCTAAAGACCCCTACGTGGAAGCGAATTGCGAATTATTTAAATAAAATTGAACCATGTTTTATTACCGAAATGACCTAGTTTGTGTCGAGTGGATGTTAAACCCCATCTCTCTCTCTCTCTCTCTCTCTCGTTTGTGATACAGTACCAAGTGATACATCTATTATTCTAAGAAGTATATACATGTATATTTAAACGCATCAATATAACATCTATTCTACGTAACGGCCAACGTCCCAAGTCACACCTGTCTCCATGGTCATATGCTCTCGTTCTTCAGAGCTGCATGTCCACAGATCTTGTATCAAAACCTAGAGCCATTTTGTACTTAAAGTCACCTCCACAACGTAGGTAATTAAAGGGGCATTATGGAGGATTAAAGAGCTGGCAGTTAAAATAGTTAAAAACTAGATAATGTAAAGGGAATATGCAGAAGATTTCATTAAAATTGATACACTCTGAACCAAGAATTTAGCGATTGAATTGTAGGCCTAGCATCGATCATCATAACTAAAGTCGGTACGATAAAAAAAAACATAGTCTCAATTATCCATTTTTGGATTTAAATGGCATCGAGAGTTGATTAAGGTCTTTTCATGTTAATAAATGTCCAATTAATAGTTTATATAACATTTAAGGCCTTATAAGAAATGGTGGTGGGGGATCTTTTTGGGATAATATATTTGAAGTAGATTTGAGGTAATGGAGAAGTTTTGTCCTGAAAAGATTCAAGTTATTTAAAGTTTTTAAAGAGAGCGGCAACGAATTCCATAGTTTGGATACTGTTTTTAACTATTAATATTTGACTTTACTATTATTAGTGGTTTCCTAATATGGTTTATTTGCGATAATTAGTTGTTATATATTTTGTGTATATGTTTTCATAAGCCCCTATTCCTATATAGAAGATTGACTTATATAATTAATGGTTTCCCTATTGATTTAATATAATAAATGGTTTCCCTATTGGTTTAATATGTTAAATGGTTTCCCTATTGATTAAGATTAATTAGTTGTTACTTGTTTTTGTATATAAACCCTCGGTGGAAGCGGACGTAAAGTACAAATAACTAACAACAACATATTTTCATTATCATTTTCTTGAAAACGTTGAGAGAACCCTCAACGAAACGTCGCTTTGAATAAAATAGTAATTGTGTTCCATATTATGTTTGTGTATTACGTATGTCAATTGCTAAATGCCGCTCAAAGAAGATATTAATATTTGGCTTGAGAGTAGTAAGTTTATTGTTAAGATGATTATACAGAGTTTGATAATAAGGTTAGACGTCAAATAAGTAATCATGGCATTGTTTAGCAGAATTTTACAGATAAATATACATTGATTAGAGATATATCGATTTACTATTGTCAGAATTTTCAATTTGTCTAGCATGGATATAAACACATCTTACTGTATATATACTAATACAAGATTTATACACTGATTTTACCCATGCATATTAATGTAATTGTTTGTATTATTTTAAATTCACGAGAGATAATATCACATACTGACCACTGTAACTAATTCATGAGATATAATATCACATACTGACTACTGTAACTAATTCATGAGATATAATATCTCATAGTGACCACTGTAACTAATTCATGAGATATAATATCACATAGTGACCACTGTAACTAATTCATGAGATACTATCACATACTGGCCACTGTAACTAATTCATGAGATATAATATCACATACTGACTACTGTAACTAATTCATGAGATATAATATCTCATAGTGACCACTGTAACTAATTCATGAGATATAATATCACATACTGACCACTGTAACTAATTCATGAGGTACTATCACATACTGATCACTGTAATTAATTCATGAGATATAATATCACATACTGACCACTGTAACTAATTCATGAGGTACTATCACATACTGATCACTGTAATTAATTCATGAGATATAATATCATATACTGACCACTGTAACTACTGGCCATAACGGGAGCCATTATAAAATCTATGAAACAATAGGTCGATTTTAGAATCTGTTTTAAATTTATTCCGCGATGAATTTACTTGCAGATGGGGTACTGGACCTTCCGTCTTTCTTAATGCCGGATTGGCCTACTAATCGAATTAATCAATCAAGAAAATGCTGTTTAATATCAATTAACTGGAGTACATACCTTCACAGCATTTCGCACAGAAGTTTTCTCCTTTTATTGCACAAGTATCAAATTCCATTGGCTTGAAAAATCCATTTAAAGTCTTAACAATTTGGTCTCCATTCTTGGTCACAATATAAGCTACAAAATAAGCATATATATAGAATATAATTCAACTATTTTTATGTTTAAAGCTGTATGTATAGAACAAATTCCAACTATTTTTATGTTTAAAGCTGTATGTATAGAATAAAATCCAACTATTTTTATGTTTAAAGCTATATGCATAGAGTAGAATCAACCTATTTTTATGTTTAAAACTGTATATATAGATTAAAATCCAACTATTTTTATGTTTAAAGCTATTTTTTATGTTTAAAGCTGTATATATAGAATAGAATCCAACTATTTTTATGTTTAAAGTTGTATGTTTAGAATAAAATCCAACTATTTTTATGTTTAAAGCTATATGTATTAAATAAGATTCCACTATTTTTATTTTTAAAGCTGTATGTATAGAACAGATTCCACTATTTTTATGTTTAAAGCTGTATGTATAGAATATAATTCAACTATTTGTATGTTTAAAGCTGTATGTATAGAATAGAATCAACCTATGTTTTGTTTAAAGTTGTATGTATTGGATAGGATTACACTATTTATGTTTATCTTAATGAACTTTTAACATCATATAAACCATGCATGAACCTGCGCCCTGTTGTACAAAAACTTGCTTCATGCTCTTATGCTCTTACAGTAAAAACTAATTTGCTAATGTGTGGAATGGGTTACCTGGTCATGTAAAAACTCTACTAATATGTATTTTAATATTTCCATTTGACCTCGTTGGACACGAATAATACACCTTTAAAACTTGCGACTATACAAGGTAAAATTTCCTAACGACGCCTTTTGTTAAGCGATAAGTAAACCTATGACCGTACCACAATGTCAGACGAAGAGCGGAGATGCATATCAAGCAACGTCGCATAGGCGAGTTAAATGACAAGATAAAGATTAAAAATTAATTTACTAAATTAAAAATTAATTTACTAAATTAAAAATTAATTTACTAAATTAAAAATTAATTTACTAAATTAAAAATTAATTTACTAAATTAAAAATTAATTTACTAAATTAAAAATTAATTTACTAAATTAAAAATTAATTTACTAAATTAAAAATTAATTTACTAAATTAAAAATTAATTTACTAAATTAAAAATTAATTTACTAAATTAAAAATTAATTTACTAAATTAAAAATTAATTTACTAAATTAAAAATTAATTTACTAAATTAAAAATTAAATTAAAAATTACAAATAAAACAATTAAACAAACAACCAAACAAATAAATTACGAACCATTTTCCATAGCATCGCTGTCACTGCAACATTTTCGGGTCAGCCGCTTGGTGTTACCTGTGACAAATTGCTTCAACTGATCACCGAAGAGGCAAAAACCTCTCAGTTTAACACCATCACAGTTTGTCTGAATTGATGACTTGAAATATGAATGAATTTTATTACGATGTCCGCAGACGGTGGCCATGATGAAAACCAGTATTAGAGCCCGCATGATGAAGTCTCCGATAAAACTTGTATCTAATGGTAATACCAAGAGTTGAACAGATGTCGATGAAAAGAGCAGGGTCGACTATTTATCCTTTACAAACTATGTGACGTCAATTCTTTTGATCAATCAAATGTCTGTTTATACGGTGTTAGTAAGTAGTAGGCCTACAACACGTGGCATTACCAAATTGGAGAAAAAATTGAAAATTGTATCTCCTATCATACTGGGAACATCGGCTGATATATCACCTCCCCCCCTTCCCCACCAATCTATCTGGGACCGAATGTAATCCTTGAGTGGCATTTAGTGACTGAGCATATTTGTACTTGATAACGATAAGAGAATACTTGTCGAAACGTCGTGTTATATGTGTATAAACCAGTGATTGTATTCCATACAAATTATGATGGGTTTTTTTCTATCTGTGAACACGGACCCCACTGAAATACCGTTCCCTTTGAACCATTGATCATTTAGTTCATTGATGTCCATTTATTGCCATTCTTTATGGTGATAACATTGTTATTATCTGTGAAACGGGCGCTATATAAATTTTGTAATAATAATAATAATTATTGTCCATTTGAAATGTGAATTTATTGCTAGCGATGTATATACGTTGGTCGATTAACATGTTTACAACCTAAACAAGTTAAATTATTCACTGATAAAAAAATCCGTATAGACTTTATAGACTTTATACGATCAGGCTGTTTCCCAGTGAATATTTTATTTCAATATTTTCATAACTTAATACACGCTACTAATATTGCTTATTTCACATTAAAACAGAATAGCAATGTATAATTAAACATACACTATACAAGAGCTAAATCTGTCTATTGCCAGTCTTTCTTTTGGCCAGAAATGTTATCTAAATTATTAATTAGACATTAATTAACTTATCCAGATACAATCAACTCTCGATGTCAACGCTAGCCTGCAATATTTATTGGATTATGATCCGATTTGCTGCTCAACTTTCAATCGCTTGTTTCTCGCTTCATAGAGGATGAATTTGACTGAAATTTTCAGCAAATTGCCTTTATATTATTTAGTTGTACGTATTTCCTTTGAAGTCATGCGGAGCTTGTGTACAGATCATATTATGTAGCTTGTAAATGACATATTTTCATTTTTTGAAATTTATTTAGCTAAATAAATAAAACTAAAATAGATCAATTGATTCTAAATATTATGGAAATATTAACGAGGCTTTAGAATCTAGTCTGGAAGCCATCCGTGGATTGAGTTTGCATCAACATGGAATATAGGATATATTCTGCATGGTCATTGTCCGTCACCTACACAAATGCAATTTGCTTGTCAGTATGATTGATAAATAGATTTATTTGGCACATTAGATTGGGTGTTGGATCCCGAAATAAAATATAAAAAAATATCTCAAAATATTAGCCCGCTTCGTTTTCTCTAAAATTTGTGCCAAACTCAGAAACATTTTACTCCCGGTCAAGTTGCTCTAATGATAAACAAGGGGATCACGTGGCTAAGTGGGTAAAACGCTGGCTCGCTAGTCTGGAGGTCGGGTGTTCGATCCCTGCATTGGCCGAGAGAGTTCATCCAGATTTTCCGGCGTGGTTCCCCCTTGTCAGTGATGCAGGGCGGAGGGCCTAACAAGGACAGCTGTCTAGTCCTTCGGATGATACGAAAAACCGAGGTCCCGTGTATACATTGGAATGCACGCAAAAATCCCTTGGCAGTTGGAATTCGATATAAGAGTAGGCACTACGGCTTACTCTTTGTAAGTGTACTTTGTAAGTGTACTTATTTAGTACGAATAAACGAATTATTATTATTACGCAAGCGATTTATTGAAATAATATTGTACCATACGTCAGTACCACAGGATTTTCTGGCGTGGTTTCCCTCTTGTTATCGGCGCAGGACAAAGAGGGACTGGCAATGTATGAGGTGTAGTCATTCGGATGGGACGAAATATCGAGACCCCATTGGTGTGCATGTAGAAAAGCCAGTTGGAGACAGAGAGAAATGTGTCCACTCGACACAAAATAGGTCATTTCGGGACTAACATATGGTTTAATTTTATTTCAATAAATTGCTTGCGCGTAGGGGTCTTTAGCAGTGGGAGGAAACCGGAGGACCCGGAGAAAAAACCCACGAGGTTGGACAGGCGACCCTACTCCTTGTCACGTAGAACCGGGGAATTGAAACAACGCCAGTTGACTCCAGTTCCGGATCTAGGGGGGGGGGGGCAAAGTGGGACAAATGTCCCGGGCCCCCCACATTTAGGGGCCCCCCACAATTCTAGGTCATACTAATATTTTATCCCGGACGGAGCCAACCAGTACCTGGGCTGAGGGAGCAGTAAGGGATATTAGGTATGAACAGATTTGTTTCAGATGCACTGAAATTAATCCTAATTTTAAAATAAAAATTCCTGGAGGAAAACACCCCAGGCACTCAAAGGGGCGGGGTACATGCTAGTACGATCCGCGGTCAGTACGAACAATTTGAACAAACAACAATTAGGCCCCCGCACAGTTGCTATGTCCGGGGCCCCCACAAGGTTAATCCGGCACCGGTTGACTCAATGACAGACTTTATGGTACAGCGCGCACGTTCTAACCATTCGGCCATCCCCCTACCCCCACTCCTTGACAGTTGGAATTAGAGGGCAAATTGCCCTCATATCACACTACGTGATTATTACATCCGCTTGGTACAGAAAAGCAGGAAATAGAGATTTAAAAAATCAAATTTTGAAAAAAATAATCGAAATTGTGTATGGTAAATTTCCACCAGTATGATTCAACGTAGACGGAAACAGAATCACACTACATGGCCAAATTTCTCTCATAGCACACTGTATGGCTTATGCCCGTCTTCAATAGCCCAGTTCGGAGCAAAACAGTAGGACGTTAAACCCCATTTCATTTCATTTCCTATAATTTAGTCTTGTTGGCATATGCAATCAAGGAACTGGTCCCATGTATCACCAAGCCTCTTCATGCTAATAATTCAATCCACCACTCTCTTAACTTTAGTTAGAACATATCACTCCTTAAAGCCACAATCAAATAATCAAGAACTAAACTACCTACGAGTAATCAAAATCAAGCAGCAAAAGGGACACGTATTCCTTACAAAGAGTACCTATAAAGTTTCAAATTGGTTCTGTTTGCTAATAAATGAGAAGACGCTCTAGATTTAGACAGCGAGGAGTGGCACGGGTGTACAAACTTTTACTTTAAACCTGGCATAGGAGATGCCTTTAAAGTCCACTCGACGCAGACTAGGTCATTTCGGGACAAACATATGGTTCAATTTTATTTCAATAATTCGCTTGCACGTAGGGGTCTTTAGCAGTGACAGGAAACCGGAGGACCCGTAGAAAACCCACGAGATTGGACAGGCAACCCTACTCCTTGTCACGTACAACCGGGGATTCGAAACCACGCAAGCTGAACCTGGCATAGGAAGTTACTGGTGACAGAATACATGCCAATAGCCTGTAACAATATGGTGACTGTAACAATAATGTTATCTTTACAAATTATTGATTTTAAATTCACAATCTAGAAATTTAGCAAGTAATACAGGTTATTTTGATACGTTAACTGAGCTGTAAATTAATACACTTGGGTCATTTATATTTTCTTTGTCATAAACGTATATCATATTAGTTAACAAGGGGGGTTGGATGGCCGAATATTTAGCACGTGCACGCTGTATCATGAGGCCTGTCATTGAGTCAACTGGCGTGGTTTCGAATCCCCGGTTGTACTTGACAAGGAGTAGGGTTGCCTGTCCAACCTCGTGGGTTTTCTCCGGATCCCCCGGTTTCCTCCCACTGCTAAATACCTGTACGCGCAAGCGAATCATTGAAATAAAATTAAACCATATGTTAGTCCCGAAATGACCTACTCTGAGTCGAGTGGACGTTAAACCCCATTTCTCGCCCCCCCCCCTCTCTAACTCTTATTAGTTGACAAAATTAGGTAACAATCTCTACCGATATGCGTGGTATGGTGCATGACCATTCCATATTTGGAATTTAGCGGTTATCAGTCTATGACGTAAATCAATTAGGGGTAGGTACCTATAAAAGAAGGAGCGAAAGCTAGAATAGTCAGGCACGCATTGGATTCTTTAGACGACCATAATGGTGTAATGGTTTCCTGAGTCTATCCACACTGGTTAGACTTTTACAGCAGTGGGGTTGAGAGAAAGGGGGGTAAATTTTAGATATTGTAATGTAGACTACTGTGTATCTGTTGTGACATACAAACGTACAGGAAAAAAAAACTAGCATTGTTCCTGTTACATATTTGATTTCGAAATCGTAAGAAAACACAACGCTGAAGTCCTTAAGAAGAGGTACAACAGTAGCCAGTCCATAGTCAAACCAACCCTTAGACAGCCAGATCAAAACAAAAAATATGTGGCAACGGTAGTGCGACAAGGGTTCGTGGTATTCGATTAGCTTATTGGCCTTGAGTATTTTAACAGCTAAAAACGCCTCCAACGCCCGTAGATTAATTGATTCTGAATATTATGGAAAACTATTATTTAAGCTATCCGTGGACATTAAGGACTTATAGAGCTGGTCATTGTGCGCAAGGCACACAAATGCAATTTGTATGTCAGTATGGTTGATAAGATAGATTTATTTGGCGCAATATAGAATTGTTATTCGGAAGCCCCTTTAACATTGGGTCCCCTGTCGTAACCCGGTCTACACCCCGTTTAACCTGGGTCTGGTGGATTGAATTGGATGTTGGATCCCGAAATAAAATTTAAAAAAATGTCTATAAATATTAGCCCGCTTCGTTTTCACTAAAATTTGTGCCAAACTCAGAAACATTTTAGTCCAGGTCAAGTTGCTCCAATCATAGCAAAGTACAGTTACTACTCATCTGTTTTCAGAGACGGTCTGGGCATCGGCCCGCCAGACTTCGTGCGGGGAACGCAGGAGGGGCAGGGTCCCATCGACACCGATTGGAAAAACATTATTCACCGTGACTGGGGGCACAAAGTTGGTCCGAGGGCCTCAATGGCATAAATCGTCATTTCCACTGAAATTTATAA